CTGAGAGTGAACTGCATTACAGAACTTTAATAGCAAAGACAACTTCCTGTTCGCAGCCATGACATCACAGCGTTAATAATAAAAATAAAGTAATAATATTTAAAATATTAATAATAAAATAATAATAATAAAATAATAATACTACTAATAAAATAATAATAATAATATTAAAATAATCAAATAATAATAACCAAATAAAAAAATTAATAATAAAAATCAAATAATAATAATAAATAATAAAATAATAATATTAATACTAAAAATAAAATAATAAAAATAATAATAATAGAAAAATAATAATAATAATCAAATAATTATAATCAAATAATAATAATAATAATGTATTAATAAAAATCAAATAATAATAATAATATAATAATAATAATATAATACTAATAAAATTATTATAATAATAATAAAATAATAATAAAATAATAATATTAATATTGAAAATAAAATAATAAAAATAAAACAATAATAATAATAATAAAATAATAATAATAATAATAAATACAACAATTAATAATTTTTTTTTAAATCACATAAATTAATTATATATCAATAATATCTTAATTTAATTAATCTTAATTTAATTAATCCAAATAAAAGTTATATTGTCAAATTAAGCCGCTTAAATAACAAATGTGGGTCAGACTGACTCACTGCATCACAGGAAATCTATGAGTTCACACAATATTATAAGTTCCCATAAGGCTGATGTGCCGACACACACCTCTGATGGGGTAAAAATAGCAGAAGTATTGATAACAGAGCTGAGAGAACTCACACACACACACCAGTCTGCCCTGATGGAGGTCAAACACTGCGACAGTGACGTCATCATCATATCCCACAATGCACAGTCAATGACAGCTGCGTACACACACACACACACACACACACACTGAATGCTAACGATGAGGCAGTTTCTGTGGCTTCTCACTTCCATTTTGGATAATATATTAACTTAACTTTAGGAAGTGATGTCACTGTAAACTCAGGTAACCATGGCGACCTGATGCTGAAAGAGGAAACACAGCTGGGACTGCAGATAACAGTGAACAGTGGACAATACACACACACACACACACACACACAACAGAGGCTCGTAAACTCATAAACACACACACATACACACACACACACACATTACACACATACTGTACATGCAGCTGATGATGTAATGATGCAGATGTTTTCAGCAGCTGCAGATGTTTGTATGTTTGTGTAGTTTTCTGGCATCTACGTGTGTGTGTGTGTGTGTGTGTGTGTGTGTGTGTGTATCTGTGCGTCTCATAACCTGAGCTTATGACTTTAACATCAGTGTGTTTCTGCTCACAGACTGTAAAGACATCAGCCTCTGTTTACTACATGACACACACACACACACACACATGCACACACACACACACACACACACACACACACATTTTCTATTTCTTTCACACACAAACACTTTCTCTTCCAAACACATACACAAACTTTCTTACACACACACACACACACACACACACACACACATACACACACAAATAAACATAAATAAACACAAACAACACACAAACACAGGCAACGCGGTGGCGCAGTGGGTAGCACTGTAGCCTCACAGAAAGAAAGTTGCTGGTTTGAGCCTCAGCTGGGTCAGTTGGTGTTTCTGTGTGGAGTTTGCATGTTCTCCCCGTGCTGGCGTGGGTTTCCTCTGGGTGCTCCGGTTTCCCCCACAGTCCAAACACATGCGCTATAGGGGAACTGATCAACTACACTGACCATAGTGTATGAATGTGTGTGTGTGTGAGTGTGTGTGTGTGTGTTTGTGTGTGTGTGAATGAGTGTATGGGTGTTTCCCAGCACTGGATTGCACCTGGAAGGGTGTCCGCTGTGTAAAACATAAGCTGGGATAGTTGGTGGTTCATTCCACGGTGGCGACCCCTGATGAAAAAGGGACTAAGCCGAAGGGAAATGAATGTTTCCGTGCCACTCACAGTCAATCACAAAGCAGCCAATCAGCATCCAGTATATGTAATCAATTTGGAATTCTGACCAATCAGTGCCAGTCCTGAGTTTATTTATGTTTAAAATGACGTTTCCATGGCAACCAGACAGCGACGAGAGTAAATCTGCGGTCTGAAGTGTGTGATTGTCAGATTAATCTGGATTAAGACGCCCTCAAGAAAGTCGAGAGTATCACTGAAGAGGAGAGGAATAAACACAGTCTGATTCTTTAGAAAGGAGAAGCACAGAACCCCTGGCATGTGCTGTAACTATTCTTCAAGAGAACTTTATGCAATATAATGTTTATTTTAAATAACAGAATAGAAAATCTGAGCTGTTAAAGTTGATATAGTCAGGTATTTATGTATGTTATTTGGTGATAAAAATATAATCAAAGCCCAGAAAAACTCACTGAAGTCCACTGAAACAGCTGCAATTCATTGGACTCGCTTTATGATTACTAACATTTAATGAATAAACAGAATAAATGCATTTGAAACATTATTTTTATTACTATTACTTTCCTCTCATATGTGTAAAATGTTGCTATAAAGCTGATTTCCATCATCCTTCAGAATAAAACACACATTAAACCCACTGGCTTGGTGGGAGTCGAGGGGGAAGCAGGTGGCAGGAGACTTAAAACACATCATCTGTCTACTTAAACCTCACACACACACACACACAGACACAGACACAGACACAGACACAGACACACACATACGCATACACACACACAAACACACACACACACACATACGCACACACACACACACACGCACACACACACACGCACACACACACACACACACACACATACACACACACAAACACACACATACGCACACACACACATACGCACACACACACATACGCACACACACATACGCACACGCATATACACACACACACACACACACACACAAACACACACTACTGACACAGATGCAAATAGTGACACACACACGCATGCATACACACATGCACACACACTCACGCACATATACTGACACACACTCACATATGGACGCACACATATACGCACACGCATACACAAACACACAAACACACACACACACACAAACCAACAAAAACACACTAACACACATATACTGACACACACTCAAATATTGACACACAAACACAGACAAACACACATAAACACACCTACTGACACACACACACATGCATGCACACATGCACATACACTCACGCACATATACTGACACACACTCACATATGGATGCACACACATACCCCCGTCCCCCCCCCCCCCCAAACACACACACACACAAACACACACAAACTCATTCACTCACTCGCTTACAAACACGCGCACACACACACACATATGCACACACCTACTGGCACACACACAGATTTGGAACACAAGGTACACAAACACGCTCACACACAAATACTGACACACACTCACATATTGACGCAAAAACACATACGCACACACATACACACACCTACTGGTGCACACACACACACACACACACACACACACACACACTTGCACAGCTATCTTCATGGGAACTTCCCCTTGAAAAAATGATTTTTATACTGTACAGACTGTATATTCAGATTTGGAACACACACACACACACACACACACACACACACAAAATCAGACATATATGATTCAACAAGTGTAATATTTTAAGTCTACTGTCAAATGTTTACAATAATGAAGATAAGAACTTTTTTTTACTTTTCTAAGTCATTAATTTGATCCAAAATATGATTAATTTGTGAAATATTCTTAAAATGTAAAATAACAGTTTGTTGATCATCAGATCCTCATATTATACTGCTTTCTGGAGGATCATGAACACTCAAGACTGCAGTAATAATGCAGAGAAATCTGCTTTACATCACAGATATAAATTAAACTTTACTATATATGCACAGATAAATCTGATATTTCAAATTATAATAATATTTCATAATTATTAATGTATTCATCATCTAATAAATGCAGTTTTTCAGCATAAAGCACTTCAAAAAAATCACAGATTCATCATTATTTAATTACAGTAGGGAACTGACCCAAATGTTAAGCTGAACAGTGTAAAGCTCTGGATGTGTGTGTGTGTGTGTGTGTGTGTGTGTGCTGTCAGACTGGTTTGTGTTCTCCAGCATCACTGACTCATGTTTAAAGTGATCCTGAAGTGCTGAGTGTCGAGTGTGTGAGTTTCTGTTCACTGATAGTGGCTCTAATTCTGGACTGCAGGCTGAGCTTCTCATTGGCTGTTGCTGGTAGAGATCAGGGGCGGGGCAATGGTGCCCCTCCCCCTTCAGGTTCATTATAATTCGCACTTGACTTCCCAGTATGTAGCCGACATTCCTGTGTCAGTATGTGAGTGTGTGTGTGTGTGCGTCAGTATGTGTATGTTTGTCAGTTTATAATGAGAGAGTGTGTGTTTGTGTGTCAGTATGTGAGTGTGTGTGTGTGTGTGTGCGTCAGTATGTGTATGTTTGTCAGTTTATAATGAGAGAGTGTGTGTTTGTGTGTCAGGATTTGAGTGT